GTGTCACTATATTCATAAGTGAATAAACAGGATTCCTGTTTATTATATGACATTGTTCCAATTTTTCAAAACGTTCAAGACTGAGGGGGAAAGAGAGTTATAGGGAACAACAGAAAGCCAGGGGTATGGCATTTTAGAAAGGAGTATGTATACTGTAGCTATGAGAGATTGTAAAGAAAGGCACACAAGGACTGGGAACAGAATGAGTGAGGCCATTTACACACACACTGCCTTGTCTTGAAGGTGAATTTTAGCTCTGTCTGATTCTTGAGTAAGAAGTTGAATAATCAGAGGGGCAAGGGAGAGTTGACTGGTCTGGTGACATCTGCATAAATTATAAGGAGACTGCGCAGGAGTGGGATTAATGGAAATGACCGATTTGAGTGGAAATGAGCAATTCTGATCCAGCCCATGTCCTGGCTGTAGAGAAGATGGTTTCTGCTATCACATTAGCAGTGAGGTGCTGGGTATTAGTGTCGGCAAGTTTTTCTAAGAAACCAGTTAGTATGGTTTGAGTTTGTGCCTTACCAACTATTCTATAAGGTATGGAAATATCCCAACCAATCACTAAAGGACCTTGGGGAGTGATTTAATGTATTACATTTGTTATTAAAAAAAATATTTCAAAATGTTAATAGTAGGGACACCTGGATGGCTCAGTCGGTTAAACCTCAGCCTTTGGCTCAGGTCATGATCTCATTGTCCTGGGATTGAGCCCCTTGTCAGGTTCCCCCCTTAGCAGGGAGTCTGCTTCTCCTTCTCCCCTACTCCTCCTTCTACCCTACTCCTCCCTCCCCACCTCACCTTTGTCGTGTTCTCTCTCTTTCTCTCTCACTCAAAAATAAAATCTGTTAAAAAAGTGTTAACAGTGATGGATATCATTCTCCTGCTAAGCTTCCCTGTGCTCTGTATGTTTTTAAAATGAGAGTGTGGGGGGCATGCCAGGGCTCTGTACTCAGCAGGGAGTCTGCTTGAGATTCTCTCCCTCTCCCTCTAGCCCTCCTGTTCATGTGCACTCGTTCTCTCTCTCTCTCTCCCTCTCTTAAATAAATAAATAGATCATAAAAAAATAAAATGAGAAAGCATGGGTATCAGTAGTCTTGGGGGAGGAAATATGCAAATGCTCTGGGAGAGTTAACTATTTATGAGCACTTACTATAAATACTATAAATCATCATATTAAGGGCTCTATATAATCCTTCCAACAAATTCATGAGGCAGCCAGTATTATCATCCTTGTTTTACACATGAAAGGGACCAACATTTAGAGGTATTAAGTATTCAACACAATTTCATATTGCTGAAAAAGTGTCACTCATCTTTCTGATTTGAACCTGTGCTCTTTGCCACAACTGAATGAACGCACTTTTCTTTCCTCTGTTATGTAAGAAGATCACAACAGGATAATTGTCATTCTGCTGAGTGAAAAAGTAGAAGGGGTATCTTGAGGGCATTCAGCAAGCATTTATTAAGTGCCTATATGAGGTGAGCACCAGAATAACACTGTTAATAAGGCATGGCCAAAATGAAGGTAAGGCATTGAACACACATTACTTCTGTTGAAACCTTGTGAAAACCCCCAGAAACATGGTAAAACAATAATGAAGGGATTTTTAAAAAAATTTGTAAACTCGCAAAGACAAGGAGAATGGAAGAGGAAATAATGGCAACAAAATTTTGCAGATAAAAGAATAAGACCCATCTGTATGCTGTCTGCAAGAAACTCATTTTAGACCCAAAGACATCTCCAGATTTAAAGTGAAGGGGTGGAAAATAATTTACCATACTAATGGACATCAAAAGCAACAAAATTTTGCAAATCATAGGAAGAAAGGAATAGATATCAAAACCTAGATCTGATAGCAGTGAGGAAAGCCCAATCCACACCATAGATGTCTTGAATGTTTCAGGAACCAGCAGCACAAGCATCTTCTTTAGAAGTGAGAGAGAAGATGGGGCAAAGCCAAGAGGATGGACCCCCACAGACCATAAGTAAAAGGCAAATGAAATTCAGAGTAGCGAGGACATGGAGCAAATGGAACTCTTGGATATTGCTGGTTGGAGGGTAAAATGGTGCAACCATTCTGGAAAACAGTGTGGCCATATCTAATAAAGCCGACTCTGCCTAATCTATCACCCAGTGATTCCATTACTAAGTATAAACCCAAATAAAATAAGTGCACATACTCCCCCCAAAACCATATACAAGAATGTTCATATCATAATAACCAAAACCGTCAGCAGTAGAACTGATAAATTGTCCTACATCCAAACAATGACCTGCTGTAGAGCAAGAGAACAAAAATGAAAACAAGACATAAACTACTGCTATAGGAAACAACATAAGAAATTTCATAGATATAATATTCATCAAGCAAAGCCAAACACAGAAGAATGCAAATTGTATCATTCTATTCACACACTATTCAAAATACAGGCAGAATATATTTATAGGGAGAGAAGCCAGGATAGTGGTTACCACTGGGAGTGGGGTGACTATAAAGGATGACAAGAGACTTCTGGGGTGTCCTATATCTTCACATTGATGGTGGTTACATGAATGAATACATACATAAAATTTGGATAATCTATACACTTAAGGTTGCACATTTTATGTATGTTGTACCTCAATTAAAAAAAAAAACAAAATAGGAAAGATCAAAAGCCTGAGAAGCCATGCTAAATCTCCCTATCTCTTTCTACTCTCTGCAACTAAGCACTCGTCATTCTCTAATACTGTCAGGAAACTAGAGGTTGATTCCCTAGGGCTATGAAATAGAGGGTTTCTGGATTGGGACACACTGGCAACAATCATGGGCAGGGGAACTGTGCTGAAACGGGAATAAAAGGTAATCTTCAAAGATAGTCCCAAGTGATTCCCCTCCTCTCTTTTGAGCATGACACCACTACAATCAAGGGGTAGAGCCATGGTAACTCCATTGAACCTGGGCTAGACCTATATACTGGGCTAGACCTATAGGATGCAGAGACAATGATGTCAAAGGGACTTCTGGTCACTTCCAAGATATGCTCCATCAATAAAGAAAAAGATGTGGGATCCAAACAGATAAGGGAAGAGGATCTCCAGGATGATGGTGGAGACACTGCTTAGATAACAGCCATGTATCAGGCATATGGCAACCAGTCCATATCTGGTCAGAAGGCCAAGAAGAGATCTCACAAAGATGAAATTGATAGAATGCACCATGTGCCTGAATATCTTATGAGGGGAGTTAGGCAATTTTGCAGGGACCTGACCTGAGTTTGAATTAATGATTAGTACATACACAACTAAGTAATAAAAAAAGGCCTTTTTAATTCTAGAGGAAATAAGATGTATAGAAAAGGAAAAGTAATTATAGTATACTATATGCATATGCAGGTGTGTACATGTGATATTTTATCTAGCATTTCTAGTTCTTTGTGGTGAAAGAGATCACAAAATCGTTTAGTACCCCCACAGGTTAGGAGCGGGAAAACTTGCATTATCCTCTAGGGGCTATTGTCGTTCAAAGGGAGAAAAAGGGCTTAGGCTGGAGAAGTTAGGAAGTCTTCCCAGAAGGTTTTTAAGCATTCTGGTGTATCTTTGAGGCTGACTAATGTTTCCCCCAGTGATAAGCTCCCTGTAGCCAATCATAAAATATTTTAAATGTGGCAGATGCTGGTCTCACAGTCTCTATCTCATTTCAGGAAACAAATCCGCACGTGTGCTTTCTTAGCATGCCTGTCTGCACTGTATTTTGGGTAGAGCCAGTTCTGAGCTCCATTCTTTGTCCTTTGGAGATTGTTAAATATAGACACTCATGTTAACAAATTAAGGCTAAAACTGAACTGTGCAGGGTGCAGGATGAACACAAGTTATGGGGTTATTTGCAAGACTTGACAAGAGAGCTTGGCTGGCAGATAAAAATTTGTTCCAGAATGTAAGGAGGAAGAGAAAATAAAACATGGGGATAGGGGCGCCTGACTGGCTCAGTTGAGACTGCTTAAAAATAAAAATGTTTTAAAAATGGGGATAAAAAAGAGCAAGGCAGAGTGGGTGAAATCAAGAGTATAGTTTGGGAATTCTGAGAATACATAAAGGTGAGTGATCATTAGACTCACATGGGGAGCTTTGAAAAATACAGGTTCCTGGGACCTGTATTTCTATAATTTATATTCAATAGTGTAAGTGGGGTCCCCCCAATGTATGTTTGTAAAATGTTTCCTCCAATGCATACAAGTTCAACAGAGCATAGAAACCTGTCCTGCATTTGGGTAGAAACACACTGACCTCATTAGGAACAATTGTTTCTTCACTTATTATTGTAAAAATTCACCAGAGATGACACCATCCCCATCTTTATACATATAGTCCTATAGACGACGTGTTGATTTGTGAATTTTAATTTTATACTCAAGTGTTGAGCTTGTAGAGGATGAGAAACTCCCTTGCCTCTCCCCCCGTGGTTATAGAACGTGTGGCAAGAGTCAACTTATTTGGACACATTCCTTTATCGTTAAAAAATATCTCTTATGACATAACCATAATGGGCTTGGTTTTAAATGTTTTTGGATTAGGCCAAGTAGAACCCAGGTGGGGGTGGGGGCGGGGGCGGGGGCGATGAGGAGAAGCAGCCTGGGACTGTCCATGGTGCTGAACGTGGGAGCCGGCCCCAGTTTTTAACCTGTTCAGTCTGCCTTGAAGCCCCATTTTCCTTTTTTTCCGTCATCTCCAGTTGCTTCCTTTTCCCAGTACGAGCAGGAGCGAGGGTGGCCCTTCATATGTTTGTCCTGGGCGTCTGATGACCTTGTGTTGGATTCCCCACCCCGCTCCGGCTCCTTCTCCCTGGGCGGCGGCCGATGGGCGCGGCACCCTCCTCTCCTTAGGCCCCCGTAGCTCCGGGGCGGACCCCATCCGCACCCCCGCAGGCTCCGCTCTCCGCATCTCGCGGCGGCGCCCTGAGCGCGCCCCGCCCCCTTCCTCCGCGCCCCCCTTCCTCCGCGCCCCCTTCCCACTTCCCCCGCCACCTGCTCCTCCTCCTTCTCGGTCCCGCCCAGTGCGCCGGCAGCCCCCGATCCCCGGAGCTGGAAGAGAGAGGGCCGAAGGAGCAGTACAAAGGGCGGAGCGGCGGGAGGAGGGGACGCCGGGCTCGGCGCCGGGAGGGCAGGCGCGGTGCGGGCATGGACGCCGAGTACCCTGCCTTCGAGCCCCCGCTCTGCAGCGAGCTCAAGCACCTGTGCAAGCGACTCCAGGAGGCGTACCGGGAGCTGAAGGAGGACCTCACGCCTTTCAAAGATGACCGCTACTACAGGTAGGGGCGGGCGGGCGCGGCGCGCCGGGCTGCGGGGAGGGGGCGCAGACCCCGGGCTCCGCGCCGCCCCCGCAGCCCTACTCCCAGACCCGGGTGCGCTGCCCGCCTGCGGGGTCCCGCCCCTGGGCCGCCCCTTCCCCCTGCGAGTGTCGAGCCCGGGGAGGGGCGGAGGGGGAGCTGGTCTGTGGGTTCTGGCTGTGGCCGGCCGGAGAGCTGGGGTGAAGAGCTGTTTTCCATTCCCTAGAAACCTGAACCGAGATTCTCAAATCCGGAGACGGGGACCCACGGGCATTCGTCCCTGCTCTGCTCCTCCCTCTCTTCCTCCCTTCCTGTCACCCCCTCCTACCCGCCTCCCGCGTGCCTACCGCCCCCACGGGCTTCAGGCCTTGCCGAGTCCTGGTTTGGGGAGAGGATCACTCCCCCTCCAGCGTCAGGCAGGGCGGGCCCTGGCCTCTCTTTTGAGGTACTCGGGCCCTCAGGCTTTGGTGAAAATCTCGGCGGCTGGGGGGTTCCTGGGCGCTGGAGGCAGACGCGTCTGGGCTGAACCGCACCTGGGTGAAGATGCTGTGGGGGTCATGGTTCCGCAGGCGCCCCGACGAGTTGTTGGTTTGGGCTTGTCTCTGTCGCCCTCTCCGTGTGGCCAAGGTGAGCCTGGAGGTTGCAGACTCGCAGCAGGAGGCCTGCCCCTTCCTGTGTTTCGAGGTTCTGTTGGGAAACCTGCTCCTTCGCTCATGGCTGGGCTTAGCCGATGTGTTGTGGTGTCATGAAGGGACCCAGTCTGGAGTCTGGAGTCTGGAGTCTCTGGCTGAGGTCGACCTTACTCCTCACTAGCTCCGTGATATGAGAAAGTTATCTGCTAACTCTGCTCTGCATGCTTCCTCTTCTGTGACATGGGGAGCTTAAACCAGAAGGTTTGGGGAAGGTGACAGTTCTAGTGATGCTGGTCTACTCGCCGCCTGCTTGCGGACGGGCAGTTGATTGCACAGCTGTCTCCGAAGTGGGGAATACTCGTTTTTATACAGCGAACCCTAATAGCCATGCATGTGCTCAGAAAACCATGTATCACACTTACCAGATCTTTTCAAAAGTCCTGTGGCTTCCCAGTGGCTGACCAATATATTGGTCACAAAATTGGTCACAAAAAATGGAAAAGCCCATTTAAAAATATATGTAATCCCAAGATTCTATTGTGTGGCTCGGGATGGACTTCACAGTCTGCCTCATGAAGCCCCCTAGGACACCCGACAGTATGGTAAAAAACAGACAAAACACAGATAGTTTTAAATCTTATGTTTAATGTATATTCCTGTCTCCTTTCCCACTAGTTTCTTCCCACTCTATTTTTTTCTCTGTGTTTTATTGTCTTGGGAATATTTCTTTGGCAAAGGACCTAGTGAATATCTAGATGGTCTTAATTCAGGTAGCAGAGAAGAAAACAAAGCCACACCATTGGTTAATCCACAACTGGGTTATCCTTTATTCATTCACCCATCTATCCAACCAACAGTCATTAAAGACCTCCTGTGTTCCTGCTGCCATTCTAGTGGGTGGAGATACAGGGTCCCTGGTGTCATGGAGCTTATAGGCAATAAACGAATGATTACCCATCGCACTCGGAAGATAATAAACTAAGTGCCATGATAAAGAGTGAGGGGGTTGCTACTTCAGAGAGACTGGTCAGAGAGGGCTCTTGGACATTTGACTGGGAATGAAGAATGACTTGCTCACTAGCCAATGAGCTGGAGCAGAAAGTTCCAGAAGAAGAAGTACAAGCCCAAAGTCCCTGAGGCCATAAAAACATGGTACCGTAGTCCCTCCTTTGCTGCAGGGGTTTTGTTCTAAGGCCCCAGTTGGTGCTCGCTTAGGCAGCACATATACTAAAGTTGGAATGATACAGAGAAGATTAGCATGGCCCCTGCGCAAGGATGACTTGCAAATTTGTGAAGCGTTACATATTAAAAAAAAAAAAAGGCCCCCGTGGATGCCTGAAACCACAGATAATACTGAATCTGAGATATATTATCGTTTTTCCTATACATACCTATGATAAAGTGTAATTTATAAATTAGGCACAGTAAGAGGTTAACAACTAATAATAAAATAGAACAAGTGTAATTACGTAATAAGGTTGTGTGAATGTGGTCTTTCTCAGAATATCTTAACTGTACTATACTCATCCTCCTTTTTCTTTTTTAAGAATTATTTATTTATTTGAGAGAGAGAGAGAGCGCATGCACACGCATGTGCAAGTGGGGGGAGGGGCAGAGGGAGAGAACCTTCAAGCAGATTCCCTGCTGAGCATGGAGCCTGACACCGAGGGGCTCACTCTCATGACCCATGAGACCATGACCTGAGCCAATATTAGGAGTCAGACACCCACCTGACAGAGCCCCCCCTGTGCCCCTGTACTCACTCTTCTTCTTGTGATAAGATGAGACTATGAAATGCCTGCGTGGTGAGATTAAGTGAGGGGAATGATGTGGGCGTCGTGAGGTAGCACAAGGCTGATTGACCTGCTGATCACATAGCAGAAGGGGGATTGGCTGCTTCTGAAGCGGCCGTGGAAAGTGAAACCACAGGAAAAGGAGGGGACTACGGCATGTTCAAGGAATAGGAAGAAGACCAGCACGGGCAGAGAGATAGACAGGCCTAGGACAGAGAGAGCCTTGAACGCTAGACCGAGACGTATGAATTTCATTAGAATTCCAGTGTGAAGCCATTGAAAAATTTTAAGTGGTGGGGGAGTGACAGGAGCAGTTTGGCTGCTGGTCCTACGGCAAGCATCTGAACCTGTGCTCTGGGGCAACTCCATTCGTTGGTCTGGATCTTGAAGACCATGAATTTACCGTGGTTGGAAGGGGAAAGTGATGAATTCTGTCTGCCCTGCTGCCACAAGGACAAGGCGGCTGCAGAATGATTTACGATATGGTGTGTTGGTAGAGCAGTTAGGCTGAATCACAAAGACTGGTTTATCGCGAAGAGATGCTTTAGGTCTTTGAACTGCCTTCCATTGCTCCATTGAATTTTTATATCAGTGGGTTGTCCCTTTACAAAACTAGGCGAAATATTCTTGGGTTTCCAAGTTGGGAAGCTGATAGTTACAGCTCCTGCGTCTGCGTCTCTGGAAGAAGCACTTGCTACTATAATTTCTGCTCCTGCTTTTCTCACTGTCTTCGTGTCCTCATTAGTGACTTGTGACTTAAAAGCACCAGTCTCTTTTCCCCAGGAGGACAGTTTGTGGCTGACAGTTTCCTCGGAACAGGGTGCAGCAAGGAGACAGCTGCTAATGCCTGTTTGCAAAAGATGGTTGGTCCCTCCACTAGCTGGAACAGCGATTGGCGTATTAGCTATGTGATTTGGCATCATTGACAAACAGCGCCTATGTGATCGGAGGGCTTGCAGTCATTTGCCCAAACTGAGCGGTTTTCCTGCTGGGAAGGGGGTGGCGGCATGATATAGGTGGCAGAGCAGCGGGCTGGGTCTGAAATCCTGGGTCTCCGTCTCAAGTCTAACCTTTGCTAACTTCCTGGCTTTGGGGTAACTGTTCTCTTTCACTGGTGATCAGTTTCCACATCAGAAAATGAAGGAAGGATGTGGTAGGCTCAAGGGCTTTTGAAAAGAGCATGGAAGATGCTTTCTAATGTAAACAACAGAAAAAGCAAAGGGCCTGGAGGTAATGGATTGAGTTGTTTGTTGATCCAGCAGCTTAATGATGTCGTCAAGTCCTTTTGTTTTAACCTGGTGGCCATTGGTCTCAATTAGTTCCTAGGAATCATTTCATCTCTTGCTTCTCATTCACGTTCATGGGGAGAACGGGCGGGCTTCACCTAAACGAGAAGGGATAACTTGAAGCCTGCGGCAAGACTCCTTGAATCTCATCTCTGCCCGCCACCAAAATGGTTAACAGCGAAGAAGACAGACGTGTTGATGAGGACATGGAAGCTTCATACTGTAGATTGGAGGGAAAATCGGTCCGGTCCCATGTGGGGCTGTGGAAGGCCGTTTGGCTGTAGCTCCTAAAGTGGAATGTATACATTCCCTTCAGTCCAGCAGCCCTTCTTAGGCATTTACCCTGCAGAAATGCGTGCATGTGTCCTCGATAGACAAGGACTAGAATGTTCATAGCAGCACAATTCACTTTACTTCTAAACTGGAAACCAGCCAAACACTCACCAACAGTAGAATACGGATAAGTTTGGCTCATTCCATCACTACAGCCATGGAATAAGCACCTTACAGCTCCACACAATAAAAGTGAGTCTCTCACACACATAATGTGAGCAAAAGAAGCCAGACACGGAGTATACGCTGTTGGATTCTACTTACATAAAAAGAAGTATAAAACAGGCAAAATGACTGTGTTGGAAATCAGGATAGTGGTCACCCTTGAGGGACGAGTGAGTGGAAGGGGGCAGCAAAGGGCTTTCTGGCTGCAGGTGGTATTTTGCGTCTTGATCTGGGTGCTGGTCACAACCCACTCGTGTGTCTCATTGGTGACACCCTTGCTCTTTCTTGAGTCCCAGGGATGGAAATAGACTGAGGCAAATCAGAGCATCCCAGGAGCTGAGGATGGAGACACTTTCCCCGAAGGCCCATGTCCTCAAGGGAGAGGTAGACAGCAGAGCCCAGCTGGAGTGCTGTTAGGAAGAGGATGTGGGGAACGGATGCTGAGCAGGCAGTCAGCCATGCCCAGGAAATCGTCCGCAGCTAAAGAAGAGTGGACGATACATACAGTTCCTTTAGAGCCCAGTTCTTAGAGAATTTGTGGTTGTCCATTTTGCCAACGCGACTTTGTTTCTTGTGTTATTACTTTACCTCTCTAAAACACAGAAACAGTGGGGCGCCTGGGTGGCTCAGTTGGTTACGCATCTGCCTCCGTCTCATGTCATGATGCTGGGGTCCTGGGATCCAGCCCCTCATCAGGCTCCCTCCTCAGGGGGAGCCAGCTTCTCTCTCTGCCTCTGCCCCTCCTCCCTGTTCATTTGTTCTCTCTCTCAAAT